ATACGCCTCAGTATATTTCGTATTGGACTTCAGATCATGATACAGTGAAATTTATTTAGTTAACGTTTCAGTTTAAGTCAGAGTTTTGTGGAACTTGCAACACAATAAGTTCACCCAAGTGCCAGAGATTGGAGGTGTTACAAATTAGTAACAAGCTCAAAAAGGGAGGAGGAGACATACGTATTATAAATGTTGGATAGCAAATAAGGAGCAAACCACACCATAAAATCGTACCCGCCGACCACCCACAGTCAACTCTTTTAAGGACGTAGCGGACATAGGTCAATGTCCTATCCGATCAACGGCAGACCAAAAGCATTATTGTGAACATAATACGCACACAAGAAATGCGAATTTGCATATTTCGTAGTGTGCACAGAGTTGCCTTCCTCTTAAAACTTCAGATCAACAACATGTTGTGCACATAACACACACACACACACACAACAAACATAAATTTGCATTTTTACGTAGCATAAAAGTTGTTGCCTGCCTTTCAGATAAACAAAACAGTATTGCAAAACCTGCATGAATAACAAAGTTTTTCTTCTTTAAAAAAAAAAAAAAGTGTCCCAAGAGTGTTGTGGAGTGAACAAAATACGCGTCCTCTAAGAGCTTATAAACTTTTGTGGAGTGGTCTGAGGACAAATCAACTCCGGGTGTGTTTTAGGTGAAGAGTTAGTGGAGTGGGGTTGGAAGGGGGGACAGGAGCTGTTTTTCTTTCTTTTTTTTTGAGGGGGGGGGGCGCCATGGGGTTACAACTATTCAAATGATTAGATTGTCAAGGGGGCGGGGTTTAGGAGCAAACAAAAGTAAGAAAGCTTGGTCAAACAGCGTCCAGGCACACGTTTACCGAAAGGATTAAGGGACACAGAAGGCGATGTAATAACGCACACAGTCTTGACAGTGTCATTGTGGCTGGCCGACGTACAGAGCACATATCGAAGGCATCATGCAACACTGTCGCATTTGCAAAAATATTTTGAGAATTTAAAACAAAAATTGAGATTTTGGAATTAGCTCAAGTTCAATCGAAGTAATATTTTAGAAATATGCGCTGTCAGGACTTGACGAATTCACAATAATAGAAAATGTGCCTAAGACCGCGTTTAAATGTCTCGTCTCAGATAAAATATAAAAAAAAGAAATAATAATAATAATAATAATAATAATAATAATAATAATAATAATAATAATAATAATAATAATAATAATAATAATAATAATAATAATAATAATAATAATAATAATAATAATAATGATAATAATTATCATCATCAACATCATCATCATCATCATTTCAATTTCTGCACATGTGACATTTTTGCCTAAAACTCGCCATATATGCCAAGTCCGTCCATGCAATACCAGAAGACATTCCAGACAATGGCTGTACCGGTGTTTGACATGGTTTGTCCAAAGTTTGCCTGGTGTCGATTTACGCTTTGTAAGTTCCACGTGTTAATTCAGTCGAACATGCTCCAAGGACAACCTGTCCTGGACAATCACCGGTACAAACAACCCCCTTTGCGTTTGTTTTTTTTCTTCCAATATTAAAATTGCCCAAGACGCCCCCTGTCCCTAAGACAACCACTTTTCCCCTTGACAATGGGTGGCCGTCTCGGTCAATTTCAAATGTATTTCCTTTCCTTTGCAATTCCCCCCCCCCCCACACACACTCACTTTTTCAGCACTGTTTGGTAAGGTTATTTAAAAGGCCGACCCTCCAAATTTAACGTTTATCCCCGATAGAATCGGGCCAAATGGGTGGATAGTCTTAAAGATTCCCTGTTCGATCCCCATCACTCTAAAACTTAAAAAGTAAAAGCATCTTTGCCCAAGACGTCACGACAACCCGGATGTGGCCTCACGTAGATGTCAGTTTGTTTGTTCGTTAGTTTGTTTCCTTGAACAGTAAAGAGAAGCACATCGACCCAACAATAATCAATAAGTGCTGGGAAAATGTGAGACCGACAGACAAACAGAAACAAGCGACAGAAAGTAAGGACGTAAGACCTACCAGTAACGCCCCTCAACCACTCGCACCTCATAGAGGATGTGCGCACTAGGGCAGGTAAATTTCGAATGGACGGCTGAAGTTTCTTTTACTCAGTCTCATAGAGAACCGAGTGAGGCTGCCGGAGAGTCATAAAACTCACAAGCCAAATTCAAGAACGCTTTGTCTGGGATTAGAACCGGGGGCATCCACACATAAGCCCTATATAAGATATCAACAGAGGTATTGGAGGGCCAGTATGGGGTTACCACCGGGTTTGTTCTGTTGTTGTAGGCGGTGGTGGTGGTTTTTTGTTTGTTTCGTGGGGGTTTTTTTTGGGGGGTGGGGGTTGTTT